GGAGGTTGGCCGTAGCTCCTCTAGCTGAGACCTGGGCTGCAGCCATGGGAGAGGCCCGGGTCGCCGAGCCACTTGCAGTCTCCTGACCTACAGAAGCTGCGGCAGGTTAACTGTTGGCTGTTTAAAATGGAGTTATAAGTTGGGCTCATAGTGCTAAGTGTGTGTGTGTCCTGAAAATGTGTTTAAATGCTAACTTGTTCCTTGCGGTGCACGTGCAGGTCCCTCTCTCTGGCATGCTGTCCCACCTCCTTCACAGGACTGTGTCCTGCTTCCCAGGTTCGGGTCTCAGCTCAGGAGTCTCCTTACGGAGGGGCCCTCAGCAACCCCAGCTTGAAGACCTCTCTGTTTGTTTCTGTGACTTCACCTGGGTCATGCCTTGGAAGTCCTGCTCACCACAGGTAGGCAGTTTGTAGTTTATTGCCATTTTCCCCAGAGGAACCGGGAATAGTGGTTTTATTTTTCCCTTTTTATTGGTTCTTTTTAGTTACATGTGACAGTAGAATCCATTTCGACATAATTGTACTAGCATGGGATATGTCATATTCTAATTAGGACCGGCGTCCCCCCCTTCTTGTGGTTTTGTTTCGTGTGGTTTAGCACAGGCAGGTCCTGACTTACGGCCCAATGGTACTGAGACGTAACGACAGTGTGAAGGTGACCACACTCAGCCACACCATTCAGAAACCAGACTTTGAATGCGGAAGTTTGGTCTGCTCCCAGCCTGATGGTGAAGCTCTCTCATGGCACTGGGCAGCAGTTTGAACCACAGCTCCCAGTCGGCCACCATGATCAAGAGGGGGAACACTGAACCCCAGAATTTGCTGCATTTAATAAGTTGCAGCAAGGAGTCAACACTTTGTTAAAAGTTGGCTTTGCAGGATATAAAAGCAACACCATAAATCAAAGGCATTTCTGAACATCAGTGACGAATCCTCTGAAAGAGAAACTAGGAAAAGTACCCCATTTACAATAGCCTCAAAAAAAAAATACTAGAGAATCAACAAAAGAGGTGAAAGACCTCCACAATGAAAACTAAAGAATGCTAAAGAAAGAAATTAAAGAAGACTTTAGAAGATGGAAAGATCTACCTTGTTCATAGCTAGGGAGAATTAATATTGTCAAAATGACCATACAGACTTAATGCAATTTCAATCAAAATCCCAATGGCATTCCTCAGAGAAATAGGAAAAGCAGTCATGAAATTTATCTGGAAAAATAAGAGACCCGGAATAGCCAAAGCAATCCTTAACAAGAAGAGTGAAGCAGGTGGCATCACAATACCAGACCTTAGACTATACTATGAGCAATAGTAACAAAAACGGTATAGTATTGACACAAGACTTGTATACCAATGGTACAGAGTACACAGAGACAAACCCACATAAATTCAGTTATCTCGTAGTAGACAATGGTGTCAAAAACATAGAAGAAAAAGTAG